TTTTTCTTCATATTACATATTAAAATCGATATAAATATCTGATAATTTTATGTGCATATGTCTGAAAATAATTTTTGACCGCCAAATGGCTTTTTTTACTTCTTATTGAATCTTTGAAATATTTTGTATTACAATACAAATGAAATGATTTTTACATTACCCGAATTGGACGCTCCGTTTCCTTAAAAACTGAATTGCCATTTTGTGCACTTTTGTTCCACGTCTTTGGAACGGCTGGACCTGCCTTTGCCAAAAACTAATATGCACATGTCCCCATCAATAGAAATCAAATAATATTATATTATATAAAATACTCTTTGAATCTTTTAAATCGGTTGAGCCGCGTGCTCGAAATCGTGGACGAATATTTGTATTATTTTCGGATACAAATTATATAATAACGGTCATATAGTTTTTAGAAATATGAGATAAGATCCTTGACTCTGCGTTCTCAAGTTTTGTTTACTTTTTATGTATACTTATATTAACGTTTTCCTTATCTATGATAAATGTCTAGTTCAACTTATAAGCTCTTATATTTTGTCTATAAAATACGAATAAAGAGTTCAAAAAAAAAAAAAAAAAATCGAATAACGAAAGTTTTAGAGCTTATGATAATACACTTAAAAACATTCAATATTCTTAGAATATTTCATTACGGTACGGAAAATTCTAGCAATTTGCCTTAAGGCACGATGCCATACACCACTAGTTTCATTTTCTGGCCAATTAGAAAATTTTGTTTCAAAAATAAACAGAATTCAAAAAATTGTAATATAAAATGTTTGGTCTGAATTATTAAAAACACCAAATTCGTATATTAAGAAACTTTATTGAAATAAATACAATACTGAAATCACTTATAAAATTAATGTTTTATAAATTAATAAATTATTAAATAACTAAATTTGTATAAATAAATACCATTACATATATAAAGCTAAAATAATTATTAAAAGTACATAAATATCTTAATCTAAATTTTTATTACATAGTTAAATATTTATATTTAAATTTTTGGTTAAGTACAGATTTTTATTTAACATAATTTCTGTGAATATAATATAATCCATAAACTATGGTTTAATATTATCTGTTGTATAAACATTTGTCATGTTGATGTATTAGTCGAGTCAGAGAAGAACTATTAAAATCACCAAATTACGACAAATTTAGCAATAACCCTGGTTTTATTCAGATTTGCAGATATATATCTATTATATATAATATCATTAAATATTAGAAATGTATGAATTTACAGAATTTTTGGAAAAGCAGTTGACAAAATCTAACTTGATTGTAGAAAAATTACATGTGTTTGCAAATTTCAATTTTTGTTCTCGTTAATAATTTAGAATCGATAATAAATTTACCTAATCGAAAAATTTTACAATGTGTATTTAAGAAATAGTAATAAATTTTAAAAATTAACAATTTGTTAATCTTACAATTAGTGTTAAAACAGAAAATTTATTAATTTATGGTATCAGGACATGGTATATATTGATTTTTCTGTTTTAACACTAGGATTAACAAATTGTAAGTACTTTTAATTCTTTATATTTATTTCAATTCAATTATTATAGTTTTTAAATTTTATTTTTAGTTCCCACTGAATGAAGACTAGGATTATAGTCGAAACGTATGGATGCAAAATAAATTAAAAGAAATTTGTTTTTTATTGATGCTATACCCAATAATTAGACTTTGTTAAAACATATGTCAACATAAAATTCAGAATCATACAATATTGCATTTTTGTATTTATGAAACAAAAAGTTTCTATGAAAAATATCATTTTTATAAAGTTCTACTAAATATCGTTAGTATCGTTTTAAGATGATATTTTTTGTTTAGAATTTTGGAAAACATTATAAAAATTAGGTTTGCTTAGGTTTTTAATATAAAATTCTTTACTGACTCAACTATTTACATGGTTTTAAGTTCTTCATCGTGATAGATGTCGTGCACCCATATAATTCTATTCGAATTTGACACATTTTGTAGATATCTGTAGAAGCAAAAGCAATAAAATACTCAATAATATATGCCATCTAACAGTACCGATCATCAAAGCATATAACTTTCGGTTACTTTTATCACAAAAACTGAAATAATTTATTCATTTTATACATCAGTTTTTAATTTTATGGTAGTTCTCATTTTAACATGAATAATTCGCTTTTGAAATGAAAGTTATGCCGATAAGTGACAGTTAAAGTGAATTTATGATGAGCAAAGTTACATTTGAATCTAGTATGCTATAAAATTATGAAAAGGTAATTTAGAAAATAGTGTTTGTACCGTCTCAAAAAATATTGTTGAATATTGGTATAAGAAATTATTTGATTTTGGCAATTATTTCATGCACGATACTAAAATTTTTATAAATCATGCATAGATGGATTATCAACTCAGGAATTTCACGATTCATTCGGGTTTTACGATTACATTTGCTGATCTATTTATAGTGCGATGTGAACATTTTTTAATTTAGCTTTTTTTTAGCAAGAAATTTTTATGTAATTTTTTATTGCTAAATAAATATAAAATTGTATACAAGGCAAATTAAAAGTAGATATCTTCATCACTTCACATGATGAATGGAACGATTATTAATCATGTGAATAAGAACACACTGCACTTATTGTTATCAAGGTTTATGTTACTATATTTTTGTAACAACGTTTGTGACAAAAGTTTATTATGTTTGCTCCTAAAACGTTATTAATTACCTTTTACGAGGCGTCCATTAATCACGTGATCGATTTTTTAAGGATTTTTGAACCCCCCTCCCCCTTGGTGATATGTGGTGATATTCAAAATTGCCCCCCCCCCTCTACCACACCAAACATCACGTGTATTTTGAGCTACGAGAAAATAATGTAAAATTTTTGATTTTTTTTGAAAATGTTGAGATAGTTTTTTTAAATTCAGGTAAAAAATAAATACACATGATATCTTGCTATATCCTTCCCTCCCCGACGTGATATTTCGTATTTTTTGTCAAACTCCCCCTCCCCCTAAAAATCTCACGTGATTAATAGACGCCCCCTTACCAGTCGGCACTAATTCAAAAAATGATCTACTAGTTATTCGGAGCCACATTCTGACGAAAACGTACTTCGATAATACTGAGTGAAATATGCAATTTGTTTGATATGAATTTGTGGGTATTTAATTTTCAATATTTATTAAAAAAATTAATTTTCAATTTTTTTCAATTATTTTTACGTTTTGACGATATAGGACGGTGCTTTCTTTAGGAACTGTTTAGAACAATTTTTTTTATACTTTTTATACATCATAAAAAGTGTATAAAAACGGTTTGTTTTCATTGTTACTACTGAAGACGACGGTCCCATATAGTCGAAACAAAGACACAATAATAAATGAGCAATTTAATAATTTTTTTGAAAATAAAATTAAATAGCTTGTCGTGGTATATTATAGTTTATCAGCTTTATGATGAGTTGTTTATGACATTTTAATTATAAATTCTATTAAAGAATGGCAAAATTTTTGGAACTAGTCTTGAAATTTTTCAGTTGCAAAAAGTAGGTGTGTACAAATATTCCCGTTTACAAACTGTGTTTTACTGTGCTATTGAATAATGCATTGTGTGTTTTAATGTTCTGTAATGGGAATCCTATACTGTTTCAGTCTGTTTCATATAAAATTCTTGTAAACGAAAATGAGAATATAATTTTACAATGCTCTTACCTCGCCTGTCGAGTTTTTTTCCTTCTAGCAATAAATCCAATCAATGGAATGTGCGTTCACATCTACTTTATGCTTTAATCAATTTATTTGGATCAAAACCAATCATACCATTCTACTTTTACATGTGTTTTGTGGATGGCATCTTATTCACGTGTGCAGATTTTATTAATTTCGTATATGCGGATGCAAAAAATATGCAAAACCGCTCCGTCAAATATTGACCAAATTATGAAAGGCCCCGCAGTGTAATTTTTCTCTGCAAAAATGTTTATTCTCATCCGCGCCTTTCTACTAAAACGCAGACATCAAACGCACTTTCTAGTCTCGATAAAAAATTATGCGAACGGCATTTTCTGCTAACAGATGACAAATTAGCGAAATATAATTAGCGATTTCGACATAAATTATCGATCACGTTGCACGTGTATCGTGCTCCGATGATTAGCTTAAAATATAAATTAACTTAGATCTTAACTAGTAACTTACGACTAATTTGTAAAACTCCGTTAAGGTTATCAACTTTGAAAAATTAGTTTGCATGCAGGATGAGAACTGTATTCTTGGACTTTTACTCTTGGACAATGCATTTATTTTACAAATTGTGCTCGATTTGACTGCCTTTGCACTGAGGTCATTACTCTTGAACCATGCCAATGAAAGCAATTAGAAATGTGCAAACAAATAGGTTTTTGTTCAGGAAATGAACAAAATCATAAAATCCAAAGATACAGCTATAAGTTTGGCGGAATTAATTCTTACTATTGAAAAATGAACTAATAGTTTGATTTGACATTCAGAAATATTAACTTAATAGCAACATTAGTAATTTAAATCAAACAAAACCAATATGAGTACATTCAGCAGTGTTTTGTATATACATATGTATATTTATATTTGATGACATCTTTCATTTGATAATTGACTTCGATAATAAAATATAAAAAAATATTCTAATATTTTTTAATATACAAAATTTTAAAAGTATATTAAACCGTTTTGGTTTCTCTATATACTATACTATATTCTATTTTCTTCAATTTATTTTAATCAGAATAATTCGGTTGAAAGATTGCACGTTCAATCCACAATTGGATGATATATTGGTTTTGCTGATAAATATTTTTTTATGTTGTCATTTAAAACGTTTTGTTTATAACAATTGCATGGTCACAAGATTTTAATTGTCTCGACTCATAAAAAGTTTCTTTTTGAACACTCAGGTTTTGTTAACAGTCAAAAATAATTTGTTAGTAAAATATAAAGTCTAATAACTAATATTATGATTTAGAAGTTATTTGTGCATTATTATTTTCTACCTCAGTTTGAGCAATCCTTTTCTCTCGTCGATTTATGATATCATCACTTAAGGCTTGTGATTTTGAATCCACTAAACCTTGAAGCGATACCAACATAGATTCTCGTTTTTTGGCCAATGTTTCTGAAGTATCAACTTCTTCCTTGTCTTCATTACCAAAGTGCAAGTGTTGTACTGTTTGTACATCCTCCACGTTCTTTGTTTCATCTTGATCCAAAAAGCGATATTTGTTTTCAGATTTCTTAGCATCTTTATTTGCCTCATTAAATAAAAATCCTAAACCGAAATCCATATTTTCGAACATGTTTCCGAAAAAGGAGTTTTCTTCTTGTACTTCTTCCTCTCTGGGTTGAATCTGTACACCATCGGTTTTTGTTTCAGACTTGTGTTTATCATGCAGATGTTTTGTTTTTATCAATTCCTGATCTTGGACTCCTGGTTGTTTTGGATGAAGATGCCTGATGTTTTCGGCAATGAGAGAGTTGTCGTTTTGGATGAGACCGTAAGTTTTTACCTAAAATGATTGTGATATATACTTTTCGTTTTTTGATCAAGTTATATAAGCAATGCAGAAGAAATAAGTATAATCTTATAAAAATGAATCGCAAAATGTGTTGATAAGCGCATAACTCAACAACGCCTGGACCAATTTGGACAATTTTTTTTTTAAATGTTTGTTGAAGTCCAAGGATGGTTCTTACCGCAAGAAAAAATCGAACAATTACCGGTAAAACCCTAAAAACAGCCCTTTTCTTTCTCACATACAAACGTTTTCTAACTAGAATCAATTTGAGCTTTATTGCTATTATTTAAAGTTCATATTAAATTACGAGCACTTACTGTATACTCCTTCTAAACGATTATTTGGATTTTGATAAATCTTTCTGGAGTTTATTAAGGAAATACTCTAGGACGTACGTGATTATAAAGCACTGGGATGTATGTGCAATATTATAGAAATAAAAGGAAAAAAATGCAAAAAACGACATGTCATTATTTGCATTGAAAATATATTAAAAATATCATCTGCCAAAAATTTCAATTTACTTATGAATCTAGACAATATTAGAATATGTATAATAAATTTATGATTATGAACAAGAAAAATGAAATGTCTATATTATTATTGCCGAAAAGCAGCTGAGATGTGCCAGAAATTAAAATAATATAAGAGACAGTATATGTATGGCAGATTGAATTATACACATATGAACAAATATGACAAATTAATTCACTTAGAATGTGAAATTAAGTATTAATCAGCCTATCTTTGATGCGATGCATGCGAAAAATACCAATGCACACCTTAGGGGCCTTGGGTTCAGTACAAGATTCGAATATTACATATTTAATATAGTTTTTTTTTCAATATATAATTTCTTTGCATCTTTTACTAATCTCTCCACAATATTTTTAAAATTCATAAGAATTTTACTTTAGAAGACCAAATGGGAAAGTAGAGATGAATACATACAATTTGGCCCTCACGATATCGATTAGGAGAAGTTTAAGATACAATTTTAGATATCTTAAATAATTAAAAATTAAATTAATTCAATACAACATGAAGTACCAGTGTTATGTTATGGTTATGGTTATGTTAAACCGTTTAAAAGACTTCAATTTCCAATATAGTGTGGAAAAAGCATTTCTACATTTAACATCGCTCATATTATAAATTTTGGAGTGAAGAGTAATTTAAAAAACAATAAATATTATTTTTAGGTAAACGGTAAATATTAGTATATTATATTTAAAAAATGTAGACATAGGTACAGGACAACGTCTGTTGGGTCATCTAGTTTATTCTAAAAGTCATACGCTTTTAATTGTGAATAAACTAGAATTTTAATATAATTTAAGCTATTATTATTATTGGTATTTCGAATTATTTTTAATAATTGGTATTATAAGGCAACTCATTGTCATATTTTAGTTACGATGTACTTTTTACTAAAAGACACTACAAGGCAATAATTTTACTTGTCCACTTGCGTTGATGTTAATGTACAGAAAATAAAAAAATGTAGGTTACTGAATGCTATATCAAGGGCTAACAAAAACATAATTATAATTATGATTAACATATCTTTCTGAAATATTAATTCAAATTACCTTAGAATGTCCTTGAATGATAAGGTTCATAAGTGGCCTGAAAGTAGTTGTTGTCGTAGGACGCCTGGTGGTGGTGTAGATAGGTGCAGGGCTGGTTCTGATATAATTTTGGGTTATCATGGGCACAGGAGATGGCACTGTACTATGTTCTACTAAAATTTGCTCTTCAGTAGTTGTAGTTGTAGGCCTAGGTCTAGTAAACCATGTCGTAGCATAAGAAGCTGTAGTTTGTTGCGATGTAGAAGGCGATTTGTCGGATACATCTAGAAATTAAACAATATAAATATAAAACATTAAATCATGGAATTAATGAAATAATTTTTTGCTATATGTGGTGATAAAATGTATGTCGAAAGGCGATTTTATTTTGAAGTCTTATCTTTTAGGCAGTTATGCTCTTGAATAAATAAACATTAATAATAGGCAAATGAAGTATAGAAGATAGATATCACTGATACGTATTCTATTATACAGGGTATCTTTTTCAATATTTTTGTACGAGATTGAACCATTTAACTCTGAACAAATTGTTTTAATATGGGTGTATTTATGTTACGTAGTTATGAAATTTATTAACTTCCCGTAGGGCAAGTTATAGTAATCGCAAAAAAATCAAAAATGAAAATTTTTATATATCTTTACATTTCAGAGGTTTCTGAACATTTTGGCATACCTTAGAAAAAATGGATGTATGTGTGTGTGTGTGTGTATGTGTGTGTGTATGTATGTATGTGTGTGTATGTATGTGCGGATACAAATTTTCGTCGACGATTTCGGGAACACGGATCAACCGATTTGAATAATTTAAAAAACATTCGATTCGTATTGATAAGGAGACGTGCTGATTAGTTTTTGGCAAAGGCAGGTCTAGCCGTTCCGAAGATATGGGGCAAAAAGTGCCAAAAACGGTACCTCAGCTTTTAAGAGAACGGAGCGTCCGATTTGAATAATTCAAAATTCACTTGTATTGACAAGATGAAGAATCGATAAAATTTTTATGAAGGTAGGTCTAGCGGTTTCGGAGATATAGAGGAAAAAGTAAAAAAATGGGCCATTTGGCGGTCAAAAATGATCATTAGACATATGCACATCAAATTATCAGATATTTTATAGAGATTTTAACAATAAGTATACATTTTGTTAACATTCCTATGGGTTCCGAACCAATGCTCATGCGTTAGACAGCGACGCGGCGCTTACGCGCTTTATATTTTGTCCCTATGCAGTTAAAGCAGTACGATTGCTTTGAAAAGAAAGTTCAGATCTTCCACAATATGTCAAAATAAAGAAAAAAAAATTTTTTTTCAAAAAAAAAAATTTTTTTAAAAATTTTTTTAAAAAAATTTTTTTTTCAAAAAAAAGTAATTTTTTGTCAAATTTATAGTTTCTCAAAAATCTCATTTTTTCAAAGTAAATTTTTTTCAAAAATGTTAATCGTTTTTAAAAAAAATAATAATTTTTGGTACGGGAAGTTCCAGCAATTTGCCTTAAGGCACGATGCCCTAATTGCCTTAAGACAGAATTCCACTTACAGCTAGTTAATACTTTCTTTTGCTTCACTCAGGTTGTTGGGTTATAATTTAACCCTTGTGGCAGTGGACTGTGTTAAACACTATTTTTTTTTGTATTTGTTTGTATTTGTTGCAGTTCTTATTATAATCACTGATTTGCTACTAAGTTTTAATGAAAGAAGATATATATATATATATATATATATATATATATTATTTATTACACATGTTGTTTTTCGGACTGCCCCGCCACCCCCTCTATCAGGGGTAGCAACCATTCCGTGTAAAAACTCAATGCCATGAAGATTGTCACCTTCATGGCCAATGATAAAACGAAAATACGTCCGAACAATGGGTTTTTTCGTGGATTAGTGGTTAGATGTAAAGTTGTAGCGACATCGGTTTTGACCAAAAAATATTTTAATACTGGTCACTACTGTTTGACATTAGACTGCCGGGTATCGAACCTGAAACCTCTTGGTTTTTGTCCAAATTACCGTACGAAATGTATATTAAAATATGATTTATCATGGTATGAATTCATTCATTATTAACATGACATTTACTATCAGTTAATTTTCCTCACCTGTATTTAAAGTAGTTTCAAAAGTCTTGTCTGTCGTTTGCATTTCTACATCTTTAGAAGTAGTAGTGACTTCTGCTTCTTTCTGCAACAAAGTTTTCAATGCATTTAGGTTGTTCGGTATCAAAGTTGATTGTGGTTGGAGCATCGATTCCTCCGCAATCGAATCTGTCACATAGGTTTCAGAGGTTGTCAATGGTGTTGATGAGTCCACCACAATTTCTTTTGAAGGTATAACCTAGAGAAAAATTTATTTGATTAATAAATTATAATTTTATTATTTTAATAAATTCTAATTTTATGTATTTATTGCTAAAACAATAACATGTTCAATTGGTCATATAGTCAAGAAAAACATCCATAAAATCTCGGTTTTCGTTATTGTCATTATATTTGAAATAACTATTCATCACCATTTGCTGAACTATTTTCTTTAATTAATAATATAATCATATAAAGCCTTATATGTTGTGTGTATGCAATCACGTTGTGTATGCAACACCTATTATCTCGAAAATTAAAACCAATTAGTATTTCATGTTCTGAATTATATTAGATCTGAGAATTGTAGTCAATACATAAAGGTTGAAAATTTGTATTGAGCAACTAAATTTATTTTGATAATTTAGTTCGGTAAGATACAAGGTACATAATGAGTTCGACAAGACATTTTTATATTGATAATTATTACAATTAGTAACGTTATCAAAACATAAGGTTTTATTAAATTGATACTCTATATATTAAATATTGCATTTTACGTCTTGCACACGTATTTGTAGATATATTTTGTTAACTTGCGTATTTAAATTACTTTACAAATAAATAAAACGTGGAAAGTAGAAAGGGCCAGGAAACGACAAAAGTTATAAGATTTTAAGTATCATGCAGAATTACTAGATCGGAGATTTTGTCGTTTTTTTAATTTCTTCAATTTAGCCCCATATTTTGACTTTGGATTCCTTTTCTGCGGTCAAACTACATTGGAAAACATATGCCGCACACCCAATACATATAAGTTCTTTTATTTTGTGGACCTGGACCTGTGTGATTGATCAAATAATTTCACACAATTCAAAATTTGCTATGGCAATATTTATCAGATAAAGCAATATTTAATTAAAAACGTTGGAAAATAATTATTAAGTATTGAAGGAAATATTTAAAAACTCATCATTATTTCTAACAAAATATTTTACCATGATATTTTGCTAGAACGTATTATCGTATAAGATTAAATCGTAAATAAAGTAGATTGGGTAGAAAATGTATTGTTTGTTAGCTAAGGGCACTTGTAAGATGTGTTACAGGAGAAATGTGTTTCACTTACGTCAGGAAAATGTCAATTTTGTTAGAAATAAATGAGATATTATTGAGAGGTAATTATTACCCCAAATACGGCGCAAGACACTTTTTCTAGAAACTGATTAATTCCGGAATTCCGGAATAATGAACGTTAGTTATGGAGTTACTTTTACTTGATTAGATAGAGGAATAGTTACAGCAACTATCCATCTTTACTTCGATATAAAAAAATGTTACAACAAGCCAACAGCTTCCCTACTTGAAATTAATATTACACTTGTAAAATGCAAGTTTTCGAAGTGAGAATTATTTACCACACTCTTCGTCACTGTATCTTCAAAATTTAATAATTACTGTTTGAACTGACAGATATGATATGGAAAGTGGCATTTATATACAATTGAAGTAGTATGTCGCAATAATAATAATTAATATTTAAATACTGCGTATCATAAATGATAGGATCTTCAAGATGGAATGATATGCAAAAGTTATAATTAAGCATATTTACATCAGTATATTTTACATTAATCGGCAATCCATGTTAGTAAGTGCAGACGACGTTTTGATTGTAAAAATTGCAAATTTAATTGGAAAATACCTCGACTCCGTCATTTTTGACCGTGGTGATTTTGGTAAAAGCAACGGTCGTGCCTCCAACGGGCGGCGGACTGAGCCAAATGCTCGGATCATCAACCCAAAGAGCGTTCGCCTGAGCTGGTTTCGAAACCTGCAAAATTCAAAAGTTTAGTATTCAATTCTCATAGTGCGCATTTCGTTAAAACGCGAACTATGTCACACGCGTCTCATTACCACCAATGCACAAGGCGACGAAAGCATCTTCGGCATTAGGCCGGGTGCACATGACCGGGACAAATTTAGCCAATACATTTAAGTAGTACCAAAACTAGAAATATGAGAACATTTTGACTTTTCACTGTTTTGATTATAAAACTATTAAGTGATGCTGCTTTTATAGATCTATAATAATTTACACTCCAGGGTAATGGGTAAGCGTGCGGCTATGTAATCATAATAATACATTACGTCTACTGAATAATATATTAATTTTACCGTGTTTTATTATACTAGAATTCTAGAATGTTTTCGTAATTTTTGAGATTATTATTCTCAGTAAATAAAAAAACCCATTTGATATTGAATTTGTTCGTATACATAAATGAAAACTGTTGAAAACTGAAATATAATTATTTGTAAATTCAAATGAAATTCATAATATAACATTTTTATTAATAGGGTATTCTAACTTAAAGGCCTGAATTACAGAAACACTGTTTCTATAGCTATAGTTTTTTACAAGTTATTAATTAATGATATGAGACCAAAAAAATAATCATAAAGTTTTAATTCTGGAAGGCGATAAAGGGGTGTCTCAAAAAATTGGCTGACCATACTCATGATTTCAAATAATCTGAAGAAATAAATATGAATATATAAAGAAAAAAAAACTGGATTGGTCCCCTCCTGCAAAGAGAGTGCCTCCTGCACGACGTCGTCGATGACAAAATAGAAGGACTGAAAGGAATGGGAAGAAGAAGAATGCAAAGGATTGACGACTTGCGCGAGAAGAGAAAATACGGAGAACTGAAAGCTGAAGCGCAGGATCAAAAAGCATGGAAGTACAAGTTCGGAAAGGAAAATATATGAAAAAAAGGCACAGCGGAGGGAAAATATTAGTAATGAGAATAATAGACAACGAATGATAAGGAATCATTTATTTGTGGTGGCTCTCACACCATGGACATGTCATCGGGCGGAACACCATTCATTATTATTATATATACATACATTATATCAAGAATATCACAATCGTATGAACTACTGACAAATTCCAAAAAATTACATCCTATTTTCATAGAATGGCGACTGCGTGAATAAAATATTTCTATTTTACAAATTTGTTTTTGATTTGATTTTATTAAAGTAGTTAAAAACGGAATTTGAGGATAACCTTAGTTCATACCGAAGGGAAGTCTGTAATAAAAAGACTATGTAAAAATTACAAGTAAATTTGTTTAGTATAAGTTGAGAAATTTTTGGTATCGTATTCAATCAGACGATAAAATCGATTTTGTTTCTTAAATTTTAGGCCAGAATATCCTCCTAAGAAAATGATTTTTTATTTTCTAGCATTTGGACATAATATAGCTATGTATGTTTTCCATCATATCACCAAAGATATTTCGAATTAGAACAGTAGCTCGATTGTAAGCCAAAATCGAAGTTGCAACTGTGGAGATTGAATAAACTGCCTTAATGGTTGAATGCTATAGAATGGAAGATTTTCATATGAAAAGAGTAAAGATCGTTTATTGTATAGGCTCTGATAAGGTCACATATTTCACGTGGAACTAAACTATAATTACTCGAGAAGGTAATGAAATTACTTTTAGCCATTATCAGTTTCTAACGAATTTACCTAATTGGAAGAAGCATTAACCTTCAATTCGGACTCGTTTGGCGTAAATAAAACAAAACAATACATTATATTTCTTCATGTGTTTTGAAACGCAAGTCTAGCGAAAAATATATTGTTTTTGATTAATGAACTAAACCGTTGTTAATTATAAAGTTGTGCGATCATAGATCATAGCCTAAAGTTTCTTTTCAAAGTATTCTATTTGTATGATTCATATGCCGGCGGATGGGCTTAACATACTAGATAAATATTATATATATATATATATATATATATATATATATGTATATATATATATGCATATATGTATAGGAATATGTGCACGTGAAGCGCGCGTAAATCTAATAACACTTTCTCCTTTCGCATAAAATTATGCAAATCGTACCTGTTTCCTGTGTAATAAAACTCGGCTTTTCGAAGATTGATTATTTTTTCAATATATGTCATAACCAACACGATTATTGATAGCGTACCAGCATTTTTAATTTGCAAGAACAACGGCGTATGCGATTCAAATAATATTGACCTGCATTCAACGAACATTAGCTTATAGGGGCTTTGAACAGTGAAAAAGCACTTTCACTTAAAAATTAAATGTTTGATTGGGTAACGTCATCTAGATAATTTGAGTTTCTGATTAACGACATTAGCGATTGCGGAAATTTGTGTTATTGTATTTAAAATACCTATTAACATGCAAAATTATTCATACTTGATAATAAGTACATAGAAATAACCCGAAGTCGAATAGTCAGTTTTTGAAATTTACGGCCTCCCACTTTTCTTGATTCATGAAAAATTTTGAATTGCAGAAATACAATATGAGCCCTACAAATCTTTTGCTTGGTCTGTCTACATAAAATATTAAATGAATTTTAAATCGTTCATAAAGTACAAAAAATTAATTTAAGAACTACATTGAATGATGCTGTTTTTTAAAGTATGATGATAGCACAAAAAAGGATGATAATAGAATTTTTTACTAATTCGAGAACTTGTAACAGATCATTAGGATTGTTTTCATATTTTTTGTTAAATAACAATAATAACAAAATTACATCTAACAACTCCCTTTCCTCATTCCTGATAGAATTAATCAGATATCGTTATAAAGATGCCTGACAAGAATACATCTAGATGCATTAATAAATTGTCCAACAATAAGTATTTTATTTTATGAATCTTTGCGATTTGTTTTTGTTTTGAAGCTTTGTATTTCTATTTTAGATTGACTAAATTGGTCAATAGCAGTGAAGCTTGTTGAAGGTTATTGGTAAACTTTTAAAAATTGAAGCATTATCATCAATGCGTAATGTATTGCATATTGCTTAATAGTCCAGTCATTTAAGCTAAAATTAGATAAGAATTTCGGAATTCGAGATACACAGGTGTAAGTCTGTAGATACTTGTTTATTGAAACTCTAAAGTTGTCTCAAATCCTACATATTGTAGGGTGTACTACATATGTAGGTTTCGAGACAACTTTTAGGTGTCAATATACAAGTATTTACAGACTTCCAACTGGGTATCTCGAATTCCGAGGTGAACTTACTATAATGACTGGACTACAACTATTTACTGATCATATTTCACCCAAATGGCATTATTATCTAATTATTAAGTCGTTGAATTAAATAATATATCAAAAATCATTCTATCACAAACAGCAAGTATCGTTAATATGTAAGTAGTTTCAAATAAATAAATCGCCACTTATTTGTTTGAATAATTAATCATATGGCTATACCTATTTTAAACATTTTTATATTCAATGAATTAATGTAGTTCTTATTAAAGGGTCTGGGCGTGTTTCCATACAGAATTGGCACCACCCTGGCATTTAAATAATTTTGATGCCATTTTATAGGTATTTTCGAGAAAATTCGAAATACCAAATTTCAAATCCGTAGCTCATCATTTGGCCGAGATATCAGTGAAAACATGTGAAAGTGGTTCTTTTTTTCAAACTCACTTTTTGTCGGAAATATGAGAGATATCGAAAAAATGTTAACGTCATTTTATTTATACTGATCTTGTCTATGTTGTTCATAACAAATAATGTGCAAAAATTATTTGTTAGTGCGTGAAAAGGTGAAAATGATTTTTTATTTTCCATGTTCTACCAGTGCGGCTCTTTGGACTACTTTTATATTAGCATCATTCGAAAGCCTGTACATTTTTCTTCTGTTATTCAAAAATGCATTTAAATGTAAGTGGAACTTTGGGTGAAAAGTTGGAAAAACTTAAGCTAGTACGCGCGCTGCCGGTACAAGAACATTCATATAAAGTTGCTTTGCAAGAGCGACGAGCAAGCATAAGGCTCGTCGTTATCGCGCGTCTCGACAAATCCTGTATATAAGTATGGAAATATTTATTGAAAACCAAAATTTATTTATATCTTGTAGACAAGTTTATTCATTAGTCATAATAAAAACTCCAACGCGCCGAATAAAACAATAATTATTATTATTGATTTTTATAGTTTTTATAGTTTAGTTTTATTTTTTGTTCTCTTTCGATTATTTTTTTGCCCTTCTATGAAATGTGGTTTATAATAATATGACTTATTATTTGTTTTTGAGAATAGTTTTTGTTAATAAGAATGCTTTTTGTATTTAACTTTTAAATCAAGTCTTTAAATCAAGTAATAACTAACCGTTTTAATAACTTTATTAATTATGATAGATGAATAATGTTTACCTGTTTCTTTATTGCAGGAGGCGGCATCAAAATAGTAGCTGGCATAGGTCGTTTATGCATTGGCCTGGGCCTGAATCGAGGTGCGTCCACAAATCTCATAAAACCTGGACCAGAATTGATTGTATCTTTTCGTCTAATGACTGTTGCTCTACTCTCCAGTGCATCATCTTCTCGATTGCTCGGGCCATCTTCATCGAGATATGTGCTTCTTAATTCCTGGTGTGGAAAGTGATATTTTTGGCTTTGATCCTCTTCAGGTAGATGAGATTTAGGCTCGTTTCGTTCGTCGCTCGAAGCCCAATACCGAACACGCTCTAATACCGGAGGAACATAGTCGAAGGTGGGGTCATTTTGTAAAGGATCGCCCCTGCCAATCGGACGCCAATGCGCGAATTCCATCCGGGGGGAGAATAATACTCGGTTTTGACGTGGTTCTGCTAAGGGTGAGTGAAATTATTTTTATTTTTTTTTCTTTACAAAAACTATATATTTATATAAAGTTATACCACCTCGCAATGCATCATCTGGATTTAAGCACGTTTTTTTTATATTCTCTTCATTGAATTACAATCTGTCTTTACAAAAAGGAAGACATTCAGTAATTTTGATGATATATGAAATATTAAACAAGCACGTTTTTTTGTTTTCTAAGTTTTTACACTGTGTGCTCTTGTATTATTGAGGCTACCTTGTTTTGGTTTTGAGTTTTACAGTGTCCTAGGAGGAAATGTTCAAACAAAATAGTTCAGGAAATATATATTTTCTGTTTCCATTTTTGTGTAAGATAATCTTAAGGAAACAGACACATTGCAAAAATAAGCCACTTGTAGTACTGTAAAATTTTAGTATTTTAAGTATGATCATGATCTCTATCGTCATAAAGAATCAAATTTGTCAAAAAAATTTTTTTCAACATGGGACCGGCCTTTTTTTATCAGAATCTAATCAACGCGATCATTGTGCAAAACCCATCAGCGCAAAACCTAGTTTTGGACAAAGGCAGGTCTGGTCGTTTTGAAGATACGGAGCAAAAAGTGCTAAAAACGGCAGTAAAGTTTTTGAGAGAACGGAACGTCCGATTTGAATGATCCATAAAAAACATTTTATTTGTGTTAAAAAAATTAAGAACTGATTAAATTTTTGGGAAAGCAGATCTAGCGAGGTCGGAGATCAATGAAAAAGTTATTTGGCGGTGAAAAATGATGCAGATGCTCTTGATATTGCTCATGATCGTTAAACATATGCACATCATATTATCAAATACTTCATAAAGTATTTCAATGTTTACATATTAGACTACGATGCGGCGCCTACGCGTTTCGATATTTCGACTCTAAAACAGGTATCCAGCGCGATTGCTTTAAGAAAAAGTTCAATTTTCAAAAAATAAAAAAATTCAAATTTTTCAAAGAAGTCATTTTTTTCTAATATATCAAAATTCTCAAAAATATTTTTTTTTCAGTTTTAATTTTTTTTTTAAAGACTTTAAAAATTTTAGTTTTTGGTGCGGGAAGTTGTAGCTGTTTGCCTTAAGCCACGATGCCATGCACAACTAATTTTTTTTTAAATTCTATATTATATCTTACTATAGTTCATGTTGCACTTACAATACAGATTGGAGAAACAAACAGATATCACCAATAGAATCACTTAGCTTTTATATTACTTTGAGAAATTGAAAATATCTTCATTATTTCATCACCTAATTTTAACCAAATTGATTAGGAAAAATCACTTAAATAAGATTTGTACTAAAATAAATGGTGTTAATAGTTGAATATCAATTTATGATCGAAAGTTCTTAAGAATTGGTTATTCGAAATCCGTGTATAAAATTTAGAAAATTACGCTCCTTAATCTTATTGTCACATTACGAATTTCCCTCTCAAAGTCGAAAAATTCAAATTCAGATTTGCTAAAAGTTTAATCGTCATATATTTGTATTTCTTTTCTTCTCTTTGTTTATAAAAAATGATGTCAAATTGACAAATTTAGTTTTTCGATAAATATACATTTAAAGTAGTAATTTGATACATGATACATAAGTGTCAGATAATTTGACATCAATAGATAAAAGTTGATGGTATTACCATTTTCATTGTCATTTGTATTCGTGCAATATGTCAAGTCCACGGCGGCTATCAACACGATGGCCCACTTTAGCTGATACATCTTCTGAAAATAGACAACATAAATTTTAGAAAGAGCTCATAATTTAAAATATTCTTGTCGTTTTTTGTATATTTAGTAATGGATCATATTTTATTGTCAATGTTTGATTTATGGCAACCATTAAAATCAAATGGATATAAATAAAGTTTCTAACAATTATTGCTTCGTTTTATCGTTTTGTTGAAGAAATTACAGCAAATTTTAATATGGATTGGAAAATTAACCAAGGCATTTACTTTACTCATCTAATAAAATTAAATATATTATACATTAAACATTCATAGAGATTTCTAGCATCTAGCATGAAATATTAAGTGATGCTTCTTATTGAAAAGCTATATCGAGTTGTTTCAAAAAAAAAAAGAAAACTAAAATGATTCACAGGCCCTCAAAAAAGTGGTTTGTATTGGGTTGCGGCATATGTTTTCCAATGTCGTTTTTTTTCTTAAAAAACGAATTTGAAGTCAAAATTGTGGGTAAAGTCAAAAATTGAAAAAAAAAAACGACAAATCATCTCTGAACAGTAATTCTTTTACATAATAATAAAAATCTCATAAGTTCTGTCGTTTTCTGACTGATGAGTTTCGATTAAATGATCTATTGAGTAATTTGCGAACTTATTTGCTTTCCATTTTTCTTGGGTATTTTGAAAATATGTATGCAAACTACTGTTGTATTCTACAAAAAACCATTAAAGTGAATACTCAATAGTTATTTAAGGTAAAAAGGGCCAGGAAACGACAAAATGTATAACATTTTAGTTATCATGCAGAAAAAATTACTAGATGAAAGATTTTGTTTTTTATGTATTTTCAAATAATTTGGCGGTTTGACCTCCAATTTTGAAGCATTTTAGATTTGTGTTCAGCGTTAAAAACTACATTCGAAAATATATGCCGCACGCCCAACACAGACAACTTATTTTATGGTTTTGTGTAATCTATATTTCACGATCCAAAATATATATACTGTATAAAATTTGCGAAAAACGCTATATCCTTTATATTATTAATAGCAAATTGAAGAAATTTGTAGAAATGTTGGTAAAAGCCCGATTAAATTAGTCCAAAATCGAAATAGAAAATTTTTACATTTATTCACTTTTGAAGGTTTCTGAACATTTTGGCATACCTCACAAAAATCGATGTGTGTGTATGTGTGTGTGTGTGTGTGTGTTCAAGCGCACGGATCAACCGATTTGAATGGTTCAAAAAGCATTCGATTTCTATTGATAGGGAGATGAACTGATTAGTTTTTGGCAAAGGCAGGTCCAGCCGTTACGGAGATACGGAGCAAAGAGTGCTGAAAATAGAAATCGAGATTTTGAGAGAACGAAGCATCCGATTTGAATGATCCAAAAAACTTTCTGCTTGTTTTGACAAAAGAGTTAAATTTTGAAATAATTTTTTTCCAATTTTTTTCAGAATTTATTATTTTGTATATCGAAATTAATTCAGATTTTAATTTTAATTCTGGCTAAAATTCTAAAGATCACTTATATACTCTAAATATATAATTTTAACTTTGTAATTCAGTTTATATAATTTTTATAAATATTATACAATGTTACAGTATTTATAGTAATCTATTATATTTGAAAACATTTAATATTCCTTGAACGTTTCGTTACGGTACGGGAAGTTTCAGCAATTTTGCTTAAAGCACGAAGCCATACACCACAAGTTTAATGTATCTTTACAAAATTATATATATTCAAAATACTTTCATTCAATTACTTACTATTATGAAAATAAAATCGAAACTGATTTGTCAATCGAATTAGATTATTAACTTATAACTATCAAATTGCGTTTCCAAAATTGCCTCAGGCATCATACAAATGTATCATAGAAATTGGAAAATGTTGAAGTTGATTGATCTATGTTATTATCCATATATAAAAGCATATAATTATACGTCAATTACTATCAAAAATATTCATGTAAGTAGTATATGTAGGTACATACTATGTTTTGCAATTTTGTAAGTGATAGCTTTTACCTTTCGAATGTTATCTTATCGTTAATTCAATTTTGTGGAATATTTTTGATTAATAATTTTCCGCTAGAGAAATAAATGTACATATATCTAATCTTGTACTTTAAGTGAACCATCTGATTGAATAGATTTTCATGCACAATTTAATTTAATCATGATACAGCATGTTTTGCCATTCAGTTGAAAAAGAAATTTTTAATAATAACGATCAAAAGCGAAGTTTATTTAACATAAATTTGTTTATATTTGATAATTGATGTGTTATTAGTTTATAATTTTTGGATATAAATTAAATTGTTATATACAGGGAAGGGCGGGGTACAAAGGTTCAGTTTGACTTGTAGCATTGATACTGTGAAAACCAAACTAAGTAATCGAAACAAAACAAACAACTATCTAAGTATGTTCAGTAAAATTCCCAGCTAATTAATAACTGTGATAATATAGGCGGGGTAAAAAGGGAGAGCCAGGAGACAAAAGGATTCTGTCGTTATGTATTTTGGTTGTGAGCACTATTATTTAGTTTACGAGACGTTTAGTTTAATTTTCAATTTTAAGTTCGATTCAACAGATGTTTTTATATATCCTCCATAATAGCTTGGGTTGGGTAAAAAGGACCAACTCAACCATTACGATCTAAAAAAGTAAATGAAAATGTAAATTTCGCCAAAAAAGCAATTTTACAGGAAATAAATACAATTAATAGTTATTCTGCTGATCCTGTAAAACAAGGTTATGTTGAATAATATCTTTGTAAAAAATTCACATAAAATTTGTATTCCACATTGCTTAATAATGTAGTTATTATTTTACACAACCATGAGGCAAAAGGGACTGATCACAAAAATAGTGAACATATTTTACAATCGGGAAGTAACTGGAAATTTTACTGAACATAGTTTGATAGTTAGTTTTATACATGTTATGTGTTTTCATGCAATTCATTTAGTTTAGTATTTTAGACTGTAAAATTATTTAAAGTCAAATCGTACCTTTGTGCCCCACCATACCTTAATTGCAAGTCCAATAAAAATCTCTAGACTTAGTCTAACAGTTACTAAACTAGTGGGTGCATTGCATCGTGCCTTAAATTGTTGGAACCGAAAATTAAAATGTTTAAAAAACATTCAATTTTTCTTCAAACATTGAAAAAAATAGTTTTGAGATTTTTTGAAAAATAACATTTTTTTATTTTGAAATATTTTGAAAATTTTGAACTTTTTTTTAAA